AATGTGGAGTAAAATGGTTGTCCTTAGCACATTAAGGCCTCATTTGAAGCTTACAGGTGCCTCTGTAAGAAACACAACGTTTAAAACGGTTATTAATCTGTATAAACAGCACAAACCCAAAGCACAAGAATTGTAAACAACAAAAATGGCCGCAGTTAAACTCTGTGCAGTGTTGCAGCGATTTTTAGTATTTTTAGTACGAGATAGAACAGACCTTGTTGTGTGGATTGTGAGTTTAAGTAGGTTCTCAATATTGAGAAGATTGCAATCCTAACGACTTATAAGTTGTCTTGTAACATTACTTTCTAAGTTCAGGTTTATATTAAAGATTACAACAAGATTTCTTGCTGAGGTATGTAAGGTATTAAAATTATATTGTTTTGATTTATTTATCATGTATACTGTACCAATAGTTATCGTAAGACTCTTTTTGGTATTTAACTGAAGTCTATGATTACCTTACTTTTGTCAGTGGCAGTATTCATTTCTGATGGGTATTATAAGATGACAGTCGGAAAACATGTAAATTTGATAGTATTGAATGCTTCTGAAATATCAGCTGTTTAAATTAAGAATACGATGGGTCCCAGATTACTCCCTTGAGGCACTTCATATTTTTATACTGATACATTAGACCTATTTCCATCCACATTAACCAGTTGTAATCGATTTTCAAGTAAGCGAACCTCAGACATGCTTTTGGACCAATTCCATGTAAGTGCAACTTGGAAAGTAACAAATCATCATCTATCAGATTAAATGTCTTAGTATAGTCCAAAAAGACCAAGAAAGACATTTTTGATTCATCCATAGCAAGCATAGATCATTTGTAACCTTGGCCAAAGTAGTATTTATTAAAATCGCCCAATTTGTGATAAAGCGCACAATCTGGCATCACTGCATCAAAGCGAGGTTACGTATATTGTTAAAATTATTTTTTTGTACCTCTATATTTACCAAAAGCTTAAAGACATATTGCACTTAAAAACTGTGTCTAGACTAGACATCGGTTTCAGTTCAAACATTCATCAAAAATTGATCCCTTAAAATACGAAGTGTGAACATTTTTCATATTGCCAAAGCTTTCATTATTGTTTTGTAAATTACACCATTTTAATAAACTGCCTGTGGTCTAGGCTTGTCAAATTTGACGAATGATTCCTAATATTACACTGTTCCCTGGAGTGTTATGAACACTTTTGCTTCCGGCTTTTTCTCTATATATTAAATTACGACCATTTATTTTCCACATTTTCTTTAAGCAATAACAATATATCCTCAAAAATGAAAAATACATTTTACATACTTTTTATATCTAAGTTATTAAATTAATTGCTATAATAAAATAGTTAAGTCAAGGCAGTTATATTTTAACACGATTAAAATTTAAACTAATTAATTTTTCCATTAATCGTTTAATATAATGTAAATTATAAATTACTTCCTTCAAACTTGCATTAATCCTGAAAGTCTATTAAAATAATCCTGATTACGCCAACAGGGACATCTACCGTACAAAGGATAAAGTATTTAAAGGACGAAAACTGCTCTTCTTAAAATCGATAGAAGCCTGTAAACCTACTAAAATATGCTTTGTTTGATATACACTAGATGCTATCAGTATACTGTATATGGGTTTAATATTAATGTAACGTTTTATGACCATTAAATATTTACAATTTCTTTGGTTTTACCCCATTTAACAAATACAACTTTCCTATGTTTCTCACTACAACTCCACCAATTAAGTAATCAAACTTCTCGGACTTTAACCATTTATAAATTTGACCCTCCGTGTTTATGTGGTTTGGTACGTTTCTACTAGTGCTGGCTTGTTGCAAAGATTTTAACCAATCATCCTGCCTTTTTCGTTTTTCCTCCCTTAATTCTTTTTGACAATCCATACAAACCCTTTGGCGTATCCCGTCAATTGTTGCAGACATTAAAACACCGTTTTGTGGCGAGATTTTGCATCTGTCACATTGTTTAATGCACGTCACGCAAATTTCAATGGGCATTGTTTGGCCTTATAAAAAATCATGTGCAGGACATTGTTGGTTATTTGGTTTTTCTTTGTGGTAATTTGGAAATATGTTTTCTTTAGGATTTTGACATTTTTAATGTTTTAGCTGTTGCCAGTTTTGTTTGTGGTGAAAAAAGCTATTTTTGATATTGCAAATTAATAAAAAAAACAATAATTAACCCCTGGTGGCAGAACATGAGTGGTGGCGCCACCAAAATATGAATTTCAGTAACTATTATATATTTTTTGTTTTTAGATGGTGTTTTTGTTATTTTTAAATATTTTTAATATATGTACCTATGTATATTAGACGTTTCATTCTTTTAAAATACCCAAACATATAAAATTATGTATATTAAACAAGTTTAATTCTTTTAAAATAACTAAAAATATAAAAATTACAAATAAAACAAATCACCAAATTATTAGGAAGGTACCTTTCTCTTAACATCAACGAGAATGTTCAAGTGCTTATTAATTGTTTATGTTCCAGTTTAGGGTAGTATACAAAATCATAATTTTTGTTCCAAATTAAATTTTCTTTCAAAATATATAAAAATATACAGGGTGTTACATTTAAAAACATGTTATTTTTGTGAATATTTCGGAAGCCCGACTTTCAATTGTTTTCTGCATCTCGAGTCGTCAGGCAAGAGACGTAAGTGAATAATGCGCTTTAATTTTAGTGTGACTATGCTTTTTCTACACAAATTACTTATTTTTTTTTATAAAAAAATATTTATAACCTCACTTTCTCCATATTTTAAATAATATTATAATCGCCCCTCGTATATTTACCTAACTTAATCATTTATTTTATGGAGAACGGAAAAAGATATCGATTTGAAGTTTGTATAGCTATTATAAGGCAATGTAAACTATTTTTTTTAAATTATTTTTAATGCGGTATCACTTCTGGAAGTGATTTCAACTTTGGTTTATACATTTTTATTGCATTTATAAATTCTACGTAACATTTTAGAAAATCTTAAATTTGATTATTTTTTTATTTTTAATACTTTTTGAGATTTTTTATTTTTTTCCAAAATTTTGACAGATGAATGGTCTTACTAATATGTCTGTATTACCACTAATTGTAATGTTAAAAAGTTAATTTATGGTGTAATTTTTATTATTTATTTAATTTATATATTTCCAATAAGTTAACCATATATATTTCCAATAAGTTAACCAAATAACTTTTCTAGGCATTAATATATAGATTTTTTGAAATTTTTCATTCCTTTCCAATATTTTTTTATTTATTCCATTTTAAATTTCCATATCTCCTTTTCAAAAAACTCCTTTAATTTGCTAAATCGGCCATTTCAAGCGCGCGAAACGCACGAATTACAAAACTGTTTTTATAAAAAAAATTGTAGATTATTTATTATATAATATATTGCCATCAAAATTGTCAAAAATATTCTTCTTTTATTAGGTTATACATTAAATAAAAAAAAACGCAAGAAATATTTTATAAAAGTAGATATAATTTTAATAATTAAAAGGTGTGGACGGGACAAAAAAAAGATTTATCTTGTCCTGTCCATCCCCTGTCAATTATTGAAATTATCTCTACTTTTATAAAATATTTCTTGCGATTTTTTTTATTTAATGTATAGCCTAATAATAGAAGAATATATTTGACAATATTGATGCAAAAATAATATATAATAAATTACCTACAATTTTTTTTATAAAAACAGTTTTGTGATTTGTCCCGTCCATCCGCTTGAAATGGCCGAAATTTTATATTTTCATACAACAAATTTTGACAATTTTTTGTTGTGTTAACTAAGGAGGACTTTTAAAAGCCATTAATAGTATTTGAAAATTTTATACAGGGTGTCTGGTATTTACGTTGACTTTTTGGTCACTTTAAATACCAATAACTTTCTTATTTCAAAGAAAACTACCTTACAATTTTCATTCGACACAAATTAATGTTTTCTTTTGAAACGCTGCAGCATACCTAAAATAAATATTTAAAGAAATTTATTTTATAGTCGTAATATCAGTAGTGTGCATTGGACTGTTTTTTATTTAGTATTAATAAAGTAACTAATGTCAATGTCAACGTCTCTGACAATTGTGTTACAATGGGTGATACTAATTACACTAATCAATAATTAACAACATAAATGGAACTTTTAATGTGAAATATCAGTAATGTGCGTTGGATTGTTTTTATTTAGTATTAAACAACGTTAAAAGAATTATCAAGTTCAAAAATTATATTGAAAAAATAAAAAAGAATGTTACAAATAAAACAAATCTAAGGTAATTGTTCAATATATCGCCACTGCAGTGTTGTTGACGACACATATTGATACGTCGCAAGACACCTTAAGAAGTTCTTCTCAAAATTTCTTAATGGGACAAAAACCCTTGTCTCACTTTCTGAGTGGGGTTAAATTGGGATACCTTTCATTAAAAGTTCTTTCTAAAACTTTTCCGTACTTGCCATATGTATAAAACATGTTTAGAATATCTTGATTAGTGTAATTATTATCACCCATTGTAGCACAATTGTCAGAGACGTTGGCATTGACATTACTTTATAAATACGAAATAAAAGACAATCCAACGCACACTACTAATTTTACATATAAAAAAATTAACTGTTTTTTTTAGAATTTTTGTAATATCTCTGTAAAATTACAATTAGTGGTAATGCAGACATGTTAGTAAGACCATCCATTTGTCAAAACTTTTGAAAAAAATTAAATATTAAATAGTATTTCTGGAATTTCACGTAAATTTACGGTTATTTTGGGTTATTAATATCTATATATAGTTAATATAAAATCAATAAAAACTTCTGTAAAAATTATTATTAAATGTTGTTTTTATAGCCAATATACCTACTCAAAATATACATATATATTTTTATTGTAGTTTCTTACTGATAAATTTACTTTGAGAAATACCGAGTGAAACTAGCCTTTTAAAGTTTATTTTTCCACTTTTACAGGCGACGGGACAAATCCAAGAAAATATCCAGTCATGATATTTTTGCATGGCGAATCTTTCGAGTGGAACTCCGGAAACCCTTACGATGGAAGCGTATTGGCCGGATACGGCAAAGTCATCGTCGTGACACTCAACTACAGGCTTGGCATTTTAGGTAAGGGCAGTTTTCAGTTATCCATTACAGCTTTTTAGTTTAAAATGTTTGTTTCCACGTTAGTTTGAAATATATACAGGGTATACCAGAAGTCGCGCACGACCTTGAAGGTGTATCTACAGACCCCAGGAAATCCCAGAAAATTGAAAATCTACCTTTTTTATTTCGTATCAATAAATTGGTAGTTTAATTCTTAATCATCAAAGAACAATATTAAAAATTTTCAAATTCCTTACTTTTACTTAGAGGTTATTTATTTTACGTCAGACTTGACAGAAGCAAATACAGGGAATAATAAAACCAAAAAATAAATCCATGAAAAAAAAAATTAACAAATATTAACATTACATTGATACCCGCACAGGCAAATTTACTTGAATGTTTTAATCATTCTTCAAACATGTTAACAAATCACAATACTCAGTGAGTACTAGTCACTAAAGGAATTTAGAAAGGTTATGAGCATAAACATTGAGGTTTTAAACCTAAAAATAATATATTTACTTCATGTCGTCAAACGCATGCTTATTCTTAAAGTAAAAATCCCAAAATGCTTTATTTCATAACATTTATTCCTAATAAACCATTGTTTGAACAGTCTGTCAATTAGACTTAATCTATTTAATACTAGTTAAAACAATATAATCAGAGTAAATTTATTACTTTAAAGTTTAAAAACTGTTTATAACCTTTTTAAATAATAAAGATAGAATTTAGTTGGATCATAAACCTTTAAGGTAATGTGCAACTATTGGGACACCCTACCTTGTTTTCCATGCAAAATTTTTTGATTTCTTAGATTTTTTTGTCCAATAGTTTTTTAGATTTCTATTTTGTGTTTTAATGTAGGTTTCTAAAAAATGCTTTGCTTTTGTTTTCTTAATGTTTTGTTTAATTTTCTATTAAAGTCGCGTTTCAAAGAATGTGCTCTCCTAAAATGAATTAGTCAAAAATGACTAATTATCATCAAAGCAGCCACGAATAATTCTCGTCAGTAGCAATTTGTATCTTGGACATTTAGCAGTCAATTCCTATGTAAAATTGTGCGCTGAATCCGATGATGTTGTCAAAAGTTAAAAAAATAAAACAGTTTTTGAGATGTAGTCAATTTTCAATTTAATATGGAGTTGACTATATCTCAAAACAATTTTACATAAGAATTAACTTTTAAATGTCCTGCTTTTTTACTATGAAAACTATTTGTGACTAATCAATTTTAGAGAGTGTCCTTATCAAAAAATTAAAAAAATACTTGGCTAACGATAGGGCCAAGCTTAAAACCTTTCAAATTGATTTTTTTTATTTAAAAGTACCCACGCATCCTTAAAAATGCAAATTTATTAGAAAATTAAAAACGAATAATTTAAAAAAAATATTCAAACCGATTAATTTTTTTGAGTTATGTCAATCTCAATTTCAGTAAAATCGAAGAGGCAAACTCAGTTGATAGGTACATTTAACATTGCATACCCCATATGTAATTTAAAATTGTATACGTTTTCTTTAATATGCCCCAAACCTGATCTAAAATTTGAAAAGACTCAATGATGTTGTATAATTTTAATATACAAGTTAAACAATAAAATAATTTAATCCCCGCTTAAAACTGAACTACCAGAAAAATAAAAATCGTTATTTGAATCGCGATATTTGCACAATACAAAAAAGATAATCCCAGGTAGTAATTATTGCAATAGGAGAATATGAAAGCTATAAACTTGGCCATTGTCCGTTATTGTCCGATATTGACGGGTTTTATCGTAAACAAAGGGAGGCCATGGCTGGATATTCTAAACATTGTTCGATGTTATAGTCGCAGGAATAGTTGCGAAACTTCGGGTCAAAGGCCCATAAAACCGTTGTAAACCTAAGGGCGAACCAATAAAGCGGGCAATTGTCTTTATGCGACGACCACTTGCGGGGTCCGTGCTCCCTTACTTCGAGAGTTTGTCCATTAAAAAAATAATTATCCAGAAAACTGTTTATTATGTAATGAGATGAGACTTAACATACTATTGTCTAAAATAGGTTTTATACCTAAGGCACTAATAGGGATTGCAATCCAGCAGGGGTTTTAATCCAGCTGGATTTTTGCTTTACCAACATTAATCCAGCTGGATCCAGCGCGTATCTAGCAATTTATAATTTTTTTTTAAATTAAAATTTTTTTTTTTATATACTTCAAGAACTTTTAGTATTATTTTTATTTTCATAAAAAAACTAAAATAGGTACCAATTTATAAAAAATAAAATAAAATTTGAATTCAACAGAAATAAAATTTATTAATTTATTAATAATGATAACTAATTGTAAGGTCATAAAAAAATTAAAAAAAGTTTCTAAATTAGGTGATATAGGATATATCCACGAAACCTTACCCCACCTTGACAAAAAATCAGATGTGTTATTTAACAAAATATCAACTATATCTGAAGTCAAATAGTTTAATTGCGACGTAATTTATAACCTTAAAATATTCGTATATTGTGCTGCTAATAAGTTAACATTAAGAATAAAGAGTTTCAATAAATGTTCAAATGTCGCACCCGTTACATTTTGAGAAAATTTTAGAAAATAAGTATGCAATTTTTGTGCATTTAAAATAAGTGCTTGTTTAAGGTTACTATTTAAGTTTTACACAAAAATTTATTACTATATGCTTTCATCCAAAATTTTACAGTATCAACTTACGTTACGCTGTTCATGACGTTATAAAAGATTTTCTATACAAGTTTTTAATGACATTTTGTTTGAGTAATTTTTTATACTATTATTATTATTAATATTATTATTATATTTGAACAAAAAATTTATTATTATGAAAAAAACACAGTTTTAGTGTCGCACCCGTTACAATGGAAATACCCTATAGTTAAAAAATTGGGTTATTATTTTAGGTTCCTATATTTTTGGTACTTAAATGAAACAAATAAAATTATCTGATTCATTGAATTAAAATTTTTTCATTATAATGTCGATATTTTTGTAAAACCATACATACATAGCTCTTATGTAGTTTTAGTTACATTATAATTGCTATGTAAATTTTCGGCAATACAGGATTTAATTTAAAATAAAATAATTATTAAAATAATAATTATTATTAACATTAACTAAACAAAAATGTTCGGTTAAAAATGCAACAAATACAAGTAAACATATCAAATCACAAATATAGTTAAATAGCAAAAATAACATAATAGCAACTCTAAAATAACAAAAAAACATAATAGGAAAATCAAAAATCAAAAAATAGATTTTCAAGATACAATAATTGTAATTTATACAATAAAATTAAATTTTAAATCCCATTTATTTGTCACATAGGCAACTCATGCAGTAAACGCCTTATTAACAAAGTTTAATTTATTTTTGTTTTTATTGGAAATATGTTTATAATTTTTTATTATTTGTATTAAATTTTGCTTGTTTTATTTTATTTTTAAATTTATTTTGGTAAATTGACCGGTCAAATGACCAAAAAACAGTTTGACCGGTCAGTTTCACAACAGTGACAAAATTTAAAAAAAAATTAAATTGAAATATATAATTGGGTTAAGTACTATTTAACTAAATTTTAACCTATAATAGGTTAAAATTTAGTAAAATAGTAACCTAAGTTTATTTTTTAATTCAATTGTTTTGAAATATTTTTTTGAATAATTCGGGTCCGATTTTCAATATTCAAAATTAAAGGTTAGGTTAAATAACCCAACCTTTATTTTAATTTACAACCCTTATAAAATTTTTTAAATAAGTACTTAGGTAGGTACTTACCGACTTACCACAAGCTTTGCAAAATAATTTTGATTCAGTTATTTTGTTTAACTATTTTGTTTAACTATTGAAGAATGAAGTAGATTCTTGTACTATTTATTAATAATAAATAACAATAAACTATTATCTATTTAATTGTTTTTTAAAAACCCGAAAACAACTCTTTTCATGCATTTTAGGTAAAATAAAAAAAAAATTTTAAACCTAAAAAACTAACAAAAGATGCCGGGCCCTAACTAAAATTTTTTATTAATATTTTTTTTAATTTAAAACATTTTTCTTACCAATTTTTATGTTTTGTTAATTTTTAAACTCTCTGTATGATATAGGTTTTTTTTATAAATTGTTTAAAAACTAATTAGCTAGCTACATTATAGTAAATTACTATTAGTAATATGTAATAATAATAAATTATTTTTACAAGACTGAAAAACTTTTATGAAGAAAAATATTGCACTTTTTCGTATATTCAATTTTTAGTACATTCATCCTCTTTTAAACCCCATAATATGAATTATATCTACTGGACAATCAAATATTTGTAGAACTTTAAACTAATTTCCACTTTAAAAGGTTAAACAAAATTAATGTAAAGATTATAGGTTAATTATCTGTATTATTTTTTATAAAAATTATTACAATTTTGTGTTTTTTTTTATAAAATTCAGTCAAATTACTCACAACTTTCACAACAAACAACTAAGCGGGGCCAAGAAGACACTTACTAAGCATAAAACTTTATCAATCGAGAGCGAACAGTGCGGTGTAGAAAGGGGTGTAGCAGGATGTTTGGGCGTTAGCGCACCTAGCAAAGCGGCAACGCTGTCAACGTAGACATTTGCGCCGGGTGACATTCACAATATCGAAATTCATTATATCGAATTCAAAAATTTCAACACTTTTTATCGAAAATCAAAATATCGAAAATACAAAATGTCGAAGATCAAAATATCGAAAATTCAAAATGTCGAAAATGATAATATCGAAAATTAAAATGTCGATTTGAAAATGTCGAATAATTAAAGGTAGTGTCTCACAGACCGTCGGACGGACGTAGAAAAGTGTTTGCTCGACCGTCGGACGGACGTAGAAATGTGTGTGCTCAGCCGTCGCATATTTTAACCTCATTTTCAACTAGAGGGTAAATGTAGCAAAATATTCCTCAAGGTTATGACGAATAGCTGTCATTTTGGTTATGCAGGTACACTGCATTATGCCATAC